GCGGTGCTTGGCGGGGGGGCGCCGCTCTGGGGGGGCGCCGCTCTGGGGGGCGTTCTGGCAGCGCTCAGCTGGGGGGGGGCGGCGTGGCGCTTGGCTGGGGGGGAGCGGCTCGGTGGGAGGGTTGGAGGGCGGCGCTTTTTTTTGCTGCTTGGGGCAGCAAAAAAGCTAGAGCCGGCCCTGGATCTCAGAGACTGATCCAGTGATTATTAAAGTCAATAGAAAGGCTCCCATTGACTTCAGTGAATGTGGGATTCATCCAATAGGCTTGATCTTACAAGGTGCTGACTGCCCTTGTATACTGAAGGTTTATTTTTTGCCAATTACAATTATTCCTGTTTTTGTTAAATTTTTATACTTAAAAATTGATTATTTTTAATTTTGACTGAAAATATGAAACATTCCAAAGCTTCACAGCCACACTATTGGATCTGCAAAATGTCATGAAAACAAGAAGTTTGGGCAAAAAGAATTTGTGAAAAATGCGACAAAAAGTCTTCAGTTTCACACTCCCCTAATTATTGCTACTGTAAATGCCTTTGAATCTTACACTGTAAATGGATTAGACAAAATAGATGTAATGAAATGGAGATTTTGCAAAATCTTTGTACAGTAGGCAGTGACATTCATCTCAAAGGGAGTAACATTAATTATGCTGGGAAAGATACACGTTACAAAGATTTGAGTGAACTGCAGAATGAGAGCACATTATTTTTTAAAATGCACTTTAAATGGACATCTGAATTATAGGCAATCTTTGCACTACTGTATGCTTTACTTTCTTGTAATTCTATGTAGAAGCCAGATTAAGAAAATCTCTAAATTGGCTTGTACAAACCCAATTTTTAAAAGCTGTGGAGTATAACAGTTTTACTACTAAAATACAATGCATGAAAATCTACTCTTTTTATCTTAAGGAACAACCAAAAGGACCAAACCCTTCTCTCCCATCTATATTCTGCTCTGAGTATTAAAACACATCTACGAATCCAACTTGTGTTACCTTTTAATAATCCTGTAATAATAATAAACCATGCTTTCTGAAATTATGAATCACATAATTTTTAGTTTTGCAATATCAGATGTATATCTGAGTTGAAACCCAGATGTATAATTCAAATTTGTAAAGTTAATAGGTTATAGGTGGAATGTTTTCACTTAAATCTCTTTAATATATTGAAATAAAGAACATCATAGCCTTTTACTTATAGCCATCAAATAAGCATTGCATTATAAATACTCATCACTAAACTCATTCCCTCTCTAACAACTAATCCAATAAATTAATTCTTATTTCTTACTAGGCTTTGCCAAATAAGTTTGAAAAAAAAAACTGAACTGTTTGGAAACTCAACCCAAACCCAACCTAATCTTTTTGAAGGTTCAGAAAATTGTGCTAATATTTTTCAATGTTCATATTTGTTTGTGCACTTCTGCATTGCTTGATTTTGGCCAAAACAGGAAGCAAGAACAGCAAAATAGCATGCAAAAGGACATCCTAGTAGTATTATGCCCATCAACAGCTAAGAAATCCCTTAAAATCTTGCAAGAACTTGTTCTGATGAGACTTTAAAACTGAATTCCAGACCAAAATGGTTTAGATACATTCTATCAACTATGCAAACAACTAAGACCTTACTTTTTTTTTATGTTCATACATCATACAATGTGTTCTTTAAACTGGGGGGGAATAATTTTTCAAACTTGTGTGCCAAAAGTTAGGTATCTAAATCAATATTTAGGTACCCAAACAACTGGTCTGCTATTCAAAGTGCTCATGAACTTAATTCCCATTGAAGCCAATATTCAATACCTCTGAAAATTAGGCCACTTATCTGAGTGCCTAAACATGGATTTTGGGGCCCAGCTTTCAGCTCAGATGTGGTCCAGCACAAAGAGGACGTAATGCTGCCTGAAGGGACAGTTTGGGGTTCTTCTTCTATCAGAGAAATTCCCAGTGGTGCTAAACCAGGCCTTAGGATGCCCAAACTTGTACTAGGAGCTGGTCGGAGCAGATACAACTTTGCCTTATTCCACTCAGCTGCCCCAAGTGTGAGCTCGGTGCGGTTGAGGATGGAGTCCCTAGAACATGAACTCAGGCACCCATGTTTGAAATACTGCCTTTGAATCCATACATATGGACACCTCACTGGACAGTATATTGTCCAAATTAAATAGATTTCAGCATTTCTGAAGCTAAAATCTGGGCTACATTGCAAGTTTTCTTCCATCCTCTCACCAGCAGTGTTCAGTATATTTATCCTTCTATGTTCCTGTTATTTATCTTCCATTGCACATCTTAGCATATATAGTTACCACCACATTATTTTGTTCTTTATCTTGCTCTCCTGCTGCCCTCCCCACTCCTGGCGTCAACTCATAGCTTATTTCATTCTTCCCAATTTCTGTCTGTAGCTTCTAGTATATCTGTCTAACAAAGGCACTAGCAATTTCACATGCTGAGAAGGCACACAACAGATACAAACAATGCCAATATTGTTGCCAGTTTTGCACCTGTTCAGTTTTTTTTTTGATCAGCAAGTAATTTGAAAATATGTAAACTGCTGCAACCTCGATGTTCAACTAAAGTTCTTTCTTCTAGTATGTCCATCACTTACAAATATGAATAACACACATTCATTACAATGGTAGTGATTTTATAAGCACTTGCAATGGTATATTTTATGTATCTATTTCTGCTTATACCTACGTTTATGTAACACAGCTGTTATGAAGATATTTCGGATTACTTACAGATCTGCATCATCTTTTATATTCAGAAACATTTCTTCTGTTTGATTTTCCTGCAGCTCCTCAGTTAGTTTTTCTTCTTCAAAAGCCACAAGACATCTATCCACAAAAAGTTTGGCTCCAGCAGCAATATTGCTCCTTACTCCTAAAACTAGAACTAAATGCAAGTTTACACAATATTTGCTGCTAAATATTGTATATTTACACCATTATAATCAGCAGTGCAAGTAGGGCGGTCTAGTCCGGTATGCTGTACCAGCAAGATATTTATAGTTGGTATGGCGTACCGGAAAGACACGGGAGGAGCAGAACGTGCTCCTCTGGCACAGCTGTACTGCCCCCAGGCCTGGCCTCCAGCGGGGCTGCTGTACAGACGGAGGAGACCCTGCGTGGAAGGGTGGGGGCGGTAGAGCCGCGCAGGGAGAGCTGCGGGCATGGGGCTTCCCAGTAGCCCCATGTTCTGCTCCTTTCGCCGCTGCAATTCCAAAGTCTCTGGCGCAGCGGGAGGAGGACAGAGCTCCCCCCATCCCAGATAAGGGGGTGGATCATGGGGAGGCCCCAGGCTGGGGGCAGGGCAGGGAGGATTCACATGGAGGGTCAAGTGAGAAGGTCATATGCCCCCTGTTAGCTACTGTCCTGTCCTCCCCCCATGTACCGGTAAGAAATGGATTCCACTTGCACCACTAATTATAATATAAGTCTAATCACAAAAAGTAGCCAGCATGTTAGCATAACTGAAAGGAATGGAGATTATGTTGTGTAGGGTTTTTTGTTTTGTTTGTATTAACACTTGAGGAAAAATACTTAAATGTTCATGAAATTCAACCATGGTTTAAGAATGCTGATCTATCTCAACAGTTTGACATACATTTCCTCTAACATTTTTTTTTCATATCTTTTGGCCAAATTCTGAAGCCCAGATTCTGATCCTACACTAGCATCAATCACTGATATCAATGCAATACTCCCAATTTACACCAGTATAACTGAACCCTGAATCTGGCTGTGAATGGTGATGGGCACCACCTTGTGCAAAGTCCCAGTTTGAGTTGCCTAGGTCTGTCATAGGCCCAAGCAGCAGTGGGTTAAATCAAATCAACAAAAAAGGCAAAAGAACATAAACAAGTTAAAAAAAAACCCTTAGTTCTCAGGGATTTCATCTCCACCTATTCTTCTGGGGTCTCCAAGGATTTACAGTAACTCCTCACTTAAAGTCGTCCCGGTTAATGTTCCAGAGGGGTAGCCGTGTTAGTCTGAATCTGTAAAAAGCAACAGAGGGTCCTGTGGCACCTTTAAGACTAACAGAAGTATTGGGAGCATAAGCTTTTGTGGGTAAGAACCTCACTTCTTCAGATGCAAGTAATGGAAATTTCCAGAGGCAGTATAAATCAGTATGGAGATAACAAGGTTAGTTCAATCAGGGAGGGTGAGGTGCTCTGCTAGCAGTTGAGGTGTGAACACCAAGCGAGGAGAAACTGCTTTGGTAGTTGGATAGTCATTCACAGTTTTTGTTTAATCCTGA